AATTTTATTTACATAATAAAAACAGATAAAAAATAAAAGAATATCCTCTTATGCGTTAATGCATAAGCGAGGATATCGTGTGATGTGATTGTGAGCTTATTATAATATTCAGCATGTTATTATTTATTATTATATTATTTATAAATAATTAATATCCTTTCTTTGATTCATTAGCTATTGACATCCTTTTTATTTCACTATTGGTTGTATGAGTAGCGTTACTCAAGTTTTACATTACAGAATCACTTTGTTGTGAAGCTAAGCATGAAATACAAGGTATTGTAAGAAATTGTGTCAGCTTCAAATTGACACTTTCATATTCACATTCTACCCTCTATAGAAGAACCAAAAAAGGTTTTCAGTGAGAACAAAATAGAAGCAGTTCATGGGCACGACGGGGCTTGAGAGGTACAAGAATTCGACTCACCATCATGAACAAGTGGAATAAAATTTCACTTTCATACTCTGGAATTGATTCTCCAATTGAAGATGGTGGCGCATCTAGCCTCGTTAAAACTTCAGGCATCCCAGCTGTGTTCCTTATTATCTGCATCAAAACCAGCATAAAATGCATGCAATTGGAATTCAAGAAGAAAAAAACAGATCCATGTTTTAAAAAAAAATCCAGATCCACGGAAAAATAAAATTAGAAACTCACAAGGAAACTTCGGTTCAAGCAATAGAGATAGTGATACGGACTCTTCATGGTTTTGGACGCAGAGATCAAGATCCAGAGGAAAGGGAATTGAAAATGATAGGGTTAATTGACACAATGATGAAGATGACGACAAATAAAAAAAGGAAAGAGAAAAAATGAGTTAAAGATATAAAGTGTGAAAGAGGAAAAATAAGAATAGGAATTGTTGGAGTGTTACCCTAAGATACACACGATCGAGCGAGAAAAGAAGTGAGGGGATCCTCCGAATGATTTTGCCACATTCCCTTGACTGTGTAGCAGCCTAGCAGATCTGAGAATATTTCAAAATTTTGCGATGTTTACTTTGAATGAGGCTAAACGAATGTACCTAAACGACGTTTCTCTTGTAGTGATGCACATCCTTACTCTATTTTATTTTATTTGGTAGACACCGTTTTTATACTTTCTTTTCGAGAAGTTTTTATACTTTTAAATGTTAGAATAAATGGACTTGCATATTATGAATTTTTATAACTCAGCTTGGATAATTCATTTTACATGATTTTTCATTATATTATTATTATTATGAAATTTATGATTTTATTACTCAAATATTAATTAGAATATTTGTAATTAGCTTTTGATCAGTCCAGTATAATATGGGTGGGTCAATATGGACTGGGTCAAATCACACACGATTGAAGAGTTCAGGCTTTGAGTTTGGTACTATGCTTCGTGGGCTAATGATGTATGCTTTTTGGATTAATTGAGATTTAGCTTCCTTGGCGCGATGGCTTTGACTGGGGGTACCTGCAATAACACTCTGATGCTCAAGTCAGTATCAAAGCTAGGCTTATGTTATGTTCTTACTGAATTAGATTATCATACCTGAGTGTGTACCCTTTGTTTATATAGCAAGTCTGATGCTGCCTTTGGTAGGCGGTATGTCTTTTGATTGATCGTTTATGGGCTGCAGGCTTATCTGTTCTCAGCTGGTGCCTTTCTGGCTATACATCTACATGTCAGGCTGCCATCTTATAGTGGTGGCAAGCTGGAGCTGTCTTTAGTGCATTGGCTTATGGCACGGTGGATCTTTGCCTGTTATAGAGTCTTTCCTTAGCTTTTAAGTTATATAAAGTGGTTTATGAGCAATAAGGCTATCGTGCTTTCTGGTCCTTTGCGCGATGATTACATTGCGCATTTCATGGGCCCTGTATGTACTTTGCCTATTCTTTTGGGCTTTAACCTTTTGTGGGCTTATTGTAATTTATCCAGATCAATTTTTATTTGTACATGTATCGTTTTTAAATAATATCTTCCTAGATTTTAAAATTTGCATTTTAATGTTTTATTTTGTTTTCACACTTTATTTTTGTTATACTTAACAATTTGTGTTAAAATGATTAACAGTCTTGCTATAAACAATTTCCCTTCAGTTACATTATAAACTTATTTGACATTTATAAACGTGGTCAATTTTAAATTTATTTAGGACTGATACAAATAACTCTTTGAAAGGTAATATATTATATGGTTCAGTGGATGTCCTTTTAAAGGAGACAACTTGTGTCCTTTTAGTAACTTTACACTATGTCTTACTAGTAAGACATGGTTATAATATGAAAAGATTTTTGTTTTTTACTTTTCATGTCAGCTGATGTGATTGAGGAGAGAAGAAAATAAATAACTTTTTGTATTATAACTATGTCTTACCAGTAAGACATAGAATAAACTTACAAAAAAGACAGAAGTTGTGTCCTTTAAAAGGATAAACTTTTTTCCCTATATTATATATATATATATAGTTCTTTCAAAAATAGCCGGAATAGTGAATTACACACACACACACACATATATATATATATATATATATGTTGCGACTTCGGCAAGTGCACCGGTCGTAAAAGTAATAAAGTGTACTGAGTACGAGATCGTTCCCACGAGGATTGGTTTTCAAGCACTAGTTCGCTAACAACAATTTAGTTGGACAATCAAGAATTGGATTTGAGAGAATTGAAATTAAAATCAAAAAATAACATGCAATTTAAAAATTCAAAATTAAAAAGACAATTGAAAAAGATGATGATTGATTAAGAATTTAAAAACAAGCGTAGTTAAGGTTTTGACTTCCCTCAATCTCCTCTATATGCTATGAATTAAACTGCCAAGAATCTGTTCTAATATAATGCCAATCAATTCTATCTAAGTTAATTAGGGCTCAATTCTTTATTACCCTAAATCTATGTGATCTTGAAAGAACTCTAGTTCCCCGATTATTCCCCAAAAAAACATGCATTAAAATCCAGAATTCCAAGATTGCTGATATGCCTTCAGCATATGGGTAAATTCAAGCCAAAAAGAGGAAGATTATTTGTTAATCCTGAGTAAAAAGGCAATGTTTATTGTTGTTTTGCTGAAATTCTAAATCCAGGATTGTTCAACTGATTTTATGCTGATTTTGTAGGAAAGCATACAAATTGGAGTCAAATGGAGACGTGCCAAAATGAAGATCCACGCTCATAGCGTGGATTTCACGCTGATGGCGTGAAGAACCAGAAACTCCCACGCTCATAGCGTGGAGTTCACGCTGATGGCGTGAAACCATCATTTCTCCCACGCTCAAAGCGTGGATTTCACGCTGATGGCGTGATGATTCAGAGGCAACCACGCTCTTGGCGTGGAACTGGCGCTGAGAGCGCCAGTTTGCGAAAGTCAAAGACCGTGTCTTAAGAAAGGGCAATTCTGGAAAAGGAAGAAAGGGATTATAAAAACAGGCTTTCTATGACAGAAACGTCAGATTTTTGACGGCAGAGAAGAAGAAAAACAAGGATTGCTTCAACAGGAGAGCTCCAGAGAAAATTTCATCTTCATCTTTATTCTTCCATTCTTTCATTTCAAGTAACATTGAATATTGATTTTTCAGCCATGACAATGGTTGGCTAAGTTTTCTTTCATTGTAGTTAGAGTCACAAACCCTATGTGAACCCTTGTTACGCGGATTGATTTATAATTGCTCGTTTATATAATTATCTTTATCTCTACCCTGTTTGTATTTTATATTTTCTTTATTAGAATTGATCACTCTAATAGTTGATAATAGTCTGAGGGTTAGAACCCTAGATAGGAATATTGAGGTTTTCATCGTGAAAGGGGGTAGGATAACAGTTCGTATGCATGCTAAGAATATATGTGTATTGAATTGCGGATGTCTAAATTATTGAGTTCATCGCTTAATTTTCATGAGGGGTTGCTAAGAGATTAGGATTCCAATTGAGATTAAAGGGTTAAATTGCCAAAGGATTGAGATTTAACTAATTATTTTAGATAATAAATTATTCGAGTAATTTTATAAATGAATATTGTAAATCAATCCAAAGTAAGAAGTGGGGATCATAAGGTGAGTGCGCTCTAGCTACAATGCTTTTCTCATATTTTCACAAACCAATTTTTTTTTTTATTGTCTATTTCTCATAAGCAAAAATTACAAAAATAAGTCTTTATTTTCAATTCTCAATTTCACACAAATCGACATTATTTGTCACAAACAAACCATTTGAACACTTCCATTCTTGAAAGGAACAATTAATTGATATACGATCACAATCCCTGTGGAGACGATACTCTACTTACTTTCTATATTACTTGTGCGATCGGTATACTTGTCGGTGAGCATCAAGTTTTTGGCGCCGTTGTCGGGGGTTGGTGTTTCTTATATCATTTAATTTGATTTTTAAGATTGGATTTTATTTTTATTTTTTTTGATATTTGAACAGTGCTACTAATCTCTTTTCTGAGTTGTATGCGAGGTAAAGAGCCAGAATTTCCACTTAATTTAGAGATTACCAAGACTGAAAAGAGATACAGAAAACTTGTTCGGTAGAAGCTTGCATTCGACAAGTTAGAGATTCTTTCTGAAGAAGCACGCACTATGGCAGGGAACAAAGAAGAGGACAATCCGCTCATGGATACGATTCTGACTCCATCGTTCAACAGGCCCAATGCGGGTATTGTTCAGCCGAATGTTGTCAACAATTGGGAGCTCAAGTCTTCCCATATTCAATTGGTAGAGAGAGCTCAGTTTGGAGGAGAGAATAATGAAGATCCTCATAGATTTATTGACAGATTCTTGATGATCTGTGACTCCACCAAACATCCCCAAGTGTATAATGATGCAGTCCGATTGAGGCTGTTCCCTTTCGCTCTTAAGGGAAAGGCTCTTAGTTGGTTGGAACGACTGCCTGCTGCAAGCATTCCAACCTGGGATGATTTATCACAGAAGTTCTTTGCTCAGTTCTTCTCGATGGAGAAGTACAACCAGATGGTGAATGATATCACCAATTTCACTTAATCTGAGGGTGAATCAATGTGTGAAGCATGGAACCGGTTCAAGGATTTGATGAGAAGGTGTCCTCAGTATAACCTGACTGCTGGTAATCAGGTTAGAATCTTCTTTAATGGTTCCAAACCTGAGGTTCGGATGGTGTTGAATGGTGCAGCAGGAGGCACTATTAAAACTCTGAGAGCAAACGAGACTCTTGAACTGATTGAGAGGATGGCTGCCAACGAAAACCAAGGGTTGTCAGCAAAGCCTAAGAGAGGTATCCTTCAACTGGAAGGTAATGATGTTGTGCTGGCTGAAAACAGTTTGTTATCTCAGCAAGTAGCAAACTTGACATCAAGGCTTGACAAGATGCAGCTTGCTGGTGTTCAAACTAAAGTTGTTGCCGTTGTGTGTGAATACTGCCAGGACAATCATGAATCTAATGAATGTCATACTTTGCTGTCTTCTGATCCTCCTCAACAAGTGCATGTTAATGGCGTTTGGTATGATCAGAGACCTCAACCACACAACATTTCGAGGACTCAGAATTATCCTTCTGGAGGCAATAATTTTCAGAGGAGAGTACAAGGAACTGGACTTGATTTCAAGTCTAATAATTATTTGCAGCCTCCACCAATTCCAGCTAAAAAACCTTCTGAGTTGGAGAAGCTAGTTGGACAAATGGTCCAACATTCAAATGCTTTTATGGAAGAGACTCAAGCAAATACCAAGAATACACAGGCTTCTATCAGAAACTTGGAGAATCAAATTGGCCAGCTGGCCAAACAAATGGCTGACAGAACTCCTGGTACCTTCCCTAGCAATACAGTTACTAATCCCAAGAAGGATTGTATGGCTGTCACAACTAGAAGTGGTAAAGTGATAGCAGCACCAGAAAAGCCAAGCACAAATGTGGAAGCTGATGAGAAGCTTAAGGAGGTTAAGGAGCCAGAAAAAGAAGTGGTAATTCCTTATAATGTTGAGAAGGAAATTGAAGAAGAGCCACATATTGTTGCTGAAAAGAAGAAATTTGAGCTGAATCCGGAATATGTGAGAGTCATGGCACCGTATCCAGAACGATTCAAGAAGGATGCTCAAAAGCAGCAATATGCAAGATTTCTTGATATCTTCAAGAAATTGCATGTAAACATACCTTTTGCTGAAACTTTTGCTAACATGCCCAATTATGCCAAGTTCATGAAGGACTTGTTATCAAGGAAACAAAAGCTTCGGGAATGCCAAACAGTAACACTCTCTGAGGAGTGTAGTGGCTGAAAGTAAAAAGAGGGCCTTGAAGGCCGTAGCATGTGAGAGGGGAAAAACAAAATTTTTCCGCAAGCGGAATACACATGCATATCAAGATACATACTTTAAGACGTATGTGATACCTTGTTCGTGAAAAACTCAAGACGATCAAAGGTAGGTCTGAAGGGTTCAGACCCTCTAACGTTGATCCACACCACCTGCGTCTAGATACAGGAACTCCTTCCAGTAAAGCCGCCAATTGATCACCACAAAGAGGCTTGCTATTCGCTCAATGTGTGATGAGAGGAGGCTATGTAAAAGTGTTTGGAAGAGTGAAGTTTTCTGAGAGAAAACCTCACAAAAGTGGCGCAGGAAATTAGGAGAGAATGGCTTGGTTGGTTTTCTAAAAACCCTAGAAGGAACATATATAAAGAGGCGCACAAGAGGAGCCTATTTGTTAAAAACAAATCATATTTTTAATCAATAAAAATCCCTTCCAAAAGGGCGCTCCATCAATGAGAGAGAGAATAGGATTTGTTGCAAATATCTCATCAAATCTTGCCAACAACATCCTATCATATATTTATGATATATTAGGTTCAAAACCTAATCAAATATCTGATCATAAATCATCATATAATCAGTTATATGGTGCGCCCCATATAGCCTAAATAATGACCAAATACATTTGAGTAATCAAATCACTCAAATATTCTCTCAACAGATTGTATCTTCTGGAGCTGATACTGATAACTAATCATCAGCCATATTAGCGCCCCATATCTCCTTGGGTTATGTCCAAGAGATTTTCTCTTGATATGTTCCAACAAGATCTAATCTTGTTATGTTCCAACAAGATCTTATCTTGTCTTTTTCAAACAAGATCTTATCTTATCCTTTTTCGTAATGAAACAATTTTCATAGCCAATTCTAATTTAATTATTAAATTCAAATATTAAAATATTAAAATTTAAACTTTCAAACATTCAAATTCAAATTTCAAATTTCAAATTTCAAAATTCAAAATTCAAAATTTCGAATTCAAATTTCAAATTTCAAATTCAAAATTCGAATTTCAAAATTCAAATTCACAATTTAAATTTCAAATTTTAAATTCCAAAATTCAAAATTTAAATGTTTGATAATTAATTAATTTAACTAATTAAATTAATTAGTAATGACTTGGACTATCCAAGCTCATTACATTAACCATGCGCCCTCCACCCCTTTAGGTGGAGTTCCAAACTACTTCTTGGGATAATAACTATTATAAGGCCCAATACTTTTAATGCTAGAGCATCTAGACAATTAGGTGTTTGTGTGTGACCATTAGGTCCAACATAGCCACTGACATAAATGGGCTTGGGCCCAATAAGCCCACAACTCATCTAATGACAACACAGAGCACTAGCAATGCTTTGTTGCTCCAGAACTAGTTAGATTAATGATTTGATCATCCTATTAAACATATTTGGTTGTCGTATGTTTGTCCCTTCGTCTCGGTTACCTTCCCATAAAACCTAGGGTAAAGAAACGTATCATCCCTTGTGATTTAGGGTTAGCTTTTTATGAAATAGGGAGTCTTCAATTTACTGACTCTAAAGGCAGATCATCTTATGATCTCTTTTACTATGTATAGATTCCCGATCACTGTAAATGTCATCCCGATTTCTCCGGTTTAAGGATAACCTAATCTCTCACAGAGATTTGACGAATTCCTTCAGCTTATCACCCTAGCCCTGTGCCCTATCAGGACAAGCCCAAGAGCATACCTATGAATCTCCATGTTTCAGGCAGACGAGGTATACAGTCAAAGCATGCCTTCTAGAACACAGTCTAAGTGATAACTTCTGGTCTAAGGAAAGACATACCCAAATATAAAGAGACTACTCTAATGATACTATCTGTGAGATTTCCTCATAGAGTCTCTTTGTGGGTCCGTTCAGTGCGAGCTATACTCTTATAGGTCCACCCACGACTTTAGCTAAGACATCTCCATCTCTGTAGCACATGAGGTCTATACCTTGTATCCATATACAAGTAGATAAGTCATGCTAGTCTTACCCGAGATTACTGACCCCATTCTCAGTATCTCTAGACTAGGAACATAATATTAGGAATAAGCATCCGGTATTCTTGAATCCTCATGATCGTGATCTCATCACAGATATTCAAGAGATACCTATTTTATTCCACGGGGTTTATCAAGTTATTCATAATATATTAACATTAATATCGAGACAGAATTATGAAACAAGATAAAGAGTGCTTTTATTTATTTGCAACAATATTAAAAAGGTCTACATCTATGTCCTTATTTAATCATAAGATTGTCTCTAGGACACCCAAATACTAACAGTGCCATCATACAGAAAAAGTTTCCATCCAAACTCAGTGATCCATGGAGCTTCAATATTCGCATTGCAATTGGTAATACTGATGTTAGCAGAGCAATGTGTGATCTTGGGGCAAGTATTAATTTGATGCTGTTATCTGTTTGCAAATCTTTGGGAATTACTGAATTAAAATCCACTATGGTTTCGCTTCAACTTGGTGATAGATCTTTGAGGAGACCAAGTGGTATTATTGAAGATGTTCTTGTTAAAATAGACAAGTTCATCTTCCCAGCAGATTTTGTGGTGTTAGATATGGAAGAAGGTACTGAAATGCCTTTGTTATTGGGTAGACTGTTCTTGGCTACTGCTCGAGCCATGATAGATGTTGAAAATGGCAAGCTTGAGTTTAGAATGTATGATGAGACCATCACCATCAACGTCTTTGACTCCAAGAAACAATCTTCTGATAAAGGCGATTGCTTTCGACTTGATATTCTAGAGCAAGTGGTGGAAGAAGAGATACCTTCTAGTCAACAGTCTGAGGAAGAACTTGAAATGCATGAATTAGTTACTTTGAAGGAAGAAAAAGTTGAGGTATTTGAAGTTCTTGAAAAGAAAGATTCTGACAAGGAAGATGGTGCCCCAAAGGTTGAGTTGAAGGAACTTCCAGAAACTCTTAAATATATCTTCTTGGGTGCAGAGGAGACTTACCCTGTTATCATTAACAAAGGGTTGTATTCTGAGCAAGAAACCAGATTGATTACAGTGTTGAAGAACCATCAGACTGCTATAGGATGGTCAATTTCTTATTTGAAGGGTATTAATCCCTCATTCTGTACTCATAAAATCCTCATGGAGGATGAAGTTTGACCAGTAAGGCAGCCTCAAAGGAGGCTCAATCCAACAATGAAGGAAGTTGTGAGGAAAGATGTTGTGAAACTTCTTGATGCTGGTATGATTTACCCAATTTCGGATACTGCTTGGGTGAGTCCAGTGCAAACTGTTCCGAAAAAGGGAGGTATCACTGTAATCCACAATGAGAAAAATGAACTTATTCCAACTAGAACCATTACTGGTTGGAGAATGTGTGTGGATTACCGGAGGTTAAATACTGCCACAAGGAAGGATCACTTCCCACTTCCTTTCGTTGATCAAATGTTGGAAAGATTGGCGGGTCACATTTACTACTGTTTCTTGGATGGATATTCTGGGTACAAACAAATTCCAGTGGCACCAGAAGACCAGGAGAAAACAGCCTGCACTTGCCCGTTTGGAGTCTTTGCTTATAGACGGATGCCGTTTGGTCTTTGCAATGCACCTGCCATATTCCAGAGGTGCATGCTCTCCATTTTTTCTAACAAGGTGGAGAAAAATCTTGAGGTATTTATGGATGACTTTTCCGTTTTTGGCTCTTGTTTTGATTTATGCTTGTTAAACTTAACTCATGTGTTAAAAAGATGCCAAGAAACAAATCTTGTACTTAACTGGGAAAAATGTCATTTTATGGTACAAGAGGAAATTGCCTTAGGTCATAAGATATCTGAAAAAGGGATCGAGGTAGATGAAGCAAAGTTAATGTTGATTGAAAAACTTCCTCCCCCTAATAATGTGACTAGTGTTAGAAGTTTTCTAGGACATGATGGGTTTTACGGGAAATTTATAAAAGACTTTTCAAAGATAGCTAAACCATTAAGCCAACTTTTAGAAAAGGATTATGAATTTCAATTTGATGATGCATGCCTGAAAGCTTTCAATCTTTTGAAAGAAAAGCTCACTACAACTCCCATTCTTGTAGCTCTTGATTGGAGTTTACCTTTTGAGCTCATATGTGATGCTAGTGCCTATGCTATAGGTGCAGTCCTTGGCCAACGTAGGAATAAATTGTTACATGTCATATACTATGCTAGCAAGATTTTAAATGAGGCACAAGTAAATTATGCCACCACTGAAAAAGAGATGCTAGCAGTAGTATATGCCTTGGACAAATTTAGATCTTATTTGTTGGGTCCCAAGGTGATTGTTTTTACTGACCACTCTACTATCAAGTATTTGATGAATAAGTAGGATGCCAAGCCCCGTTTGCTAAGGTGGATGCTCTTATTTCAAGAGTTTGACTTGGAGATCCGAGATAAAGCTGGAGTGGAGAATAAAGTGGCAGATCATTTGTCACGCATCCAGGAGAAAGAATTACAAGATGGTCCAGAGAGAGAAATAAATGACCATTTTCCTGATGAAAGAGTAATGGCTATATTTGTACCTCCTTGGTTTGCAGATATTGCCAATTACAAGGTGATAAAAGAGTTTCCTCACAACCTCACTAGGCAACAACAGAGGAAGTTCCTCAGCAATGCAAGGAGATTTCATTGGGATGATCCTTATCTGTATTTCCAGTGTGCTGATGGAATTATAAGAAGGTGTGTGCCAGAATTTGAAGTTCATGAGATCTTGTGGCACTGCCAAGTATCAAACTATGGAGGACACTTTAGAGGCAATAGAACTGCTCAAAAAGTCCTACAAAGTGGTTATTATTGGCCTACATTATTCAAAGATGCAAGAGATTATGTTGAAAAATGTGATAAATGTCAAAGAGCTGGAAACATTTCCCGTAAGGATGAAATGCCTCTAAATAGCATATTAGAGGTAGAACTATTTGACGTATGGGGGATAGATTTTATGGGACCATTTCCTTCATCA